CAGGAAGGGACAGGTGATGAAACGGGGTCAGTTGTGGACTGGAAATCTCTACAGAGTCTCTAAAAAGTGAACAAATTTTGTAAGAAATATGGAAAATGTAGATGGGCAGGGAATACATCTGTGTTTTTTCACTATGTCTGCTGAAAACCCAATGTTGTGGTTGTGTGTTTTTAAAAATATATTTTATTGATTTTTTACAGAGAGGAAGAGAGAGTTAGAAACATTGATGAGAGAGAATCATCGATCAGCTGCCTCCTGCACACCCCCTACTGGGGATGTGTCCGCAACCAAGGTACATGCCCTTGACCGGAATTGAACTGGGAAACTTTCAGTCAGTAGGCCGACGCTCTATCCACTGAGCCAAATCGATTTTGGCATGAAAACCCAATGTTTTATAGAGGGGATAAAAATGTGGGAGCTAGGTCCCATACACAAAACTATTTGTGAGCACTATTGATAAGAGAAGTACATAAGGACTTATGTCCTTGACCATCACTTAGACTTTACATCATACTTCCTAAGAAGAGTGTCCACAATTCTCATACGTTATTACCTCCGAGCATCCCTGGAAGACAGGAGTTGTGTGGTCACATGGGACATGTAAGTGACTGGAGAAGTCATTAAGCACATTAATGGTAAAACTGAGTTGAGAACCAGTGCACTCGCTCACAAATTATGTGTGCCAGACTTAATGCTCCCCAAGTAACACAACGGGTACCGCTACATCAGGTGGGCTGTGGTTTCACCAACATCTCTATTTCCATTGTTCTACTTTGAGCTTCTTACCCTGTGAAACCCAGTGTAAGAAGCTATCTGGGAAGGATACGTTCTCAAAGGTGTGCCCTCAACAAGTAATTTTGAAATGAGAAGGTATACAGTAACAAAGCCATTTATCACCCCTTCCTTCTGGTGAGCCTAGGCACAAAGCCAAAGCATTTATAGATGTGGTAAGTACTGGCACCAGCTCTTGTACTCAAAACTATTTCCTGAGCAACATTATACCGTGAGCAGAGACTCTGTCTACTTTCAATTATTGCCTTTTTTCACCATTGTCATCATAAGCCAACATTCATTGAATGCCCACATGATTTGGGCACTATATAATTCTATATTTATACACGTAAAAAATACATATATGCACAGTGACATGGTATAAAAAAGGAAAACATGAATATTATTCCTTTAAAAGGGCCTTGCATGAAAGGGGAGCATAATGACAAAGAACTAGACACTGGAAGTTATTTTATTTAACGTTTTATTAAGAATTTACTCTGCTTCTTCTTTTTCTTTTTTATAAAGTAGCTGAAATAGAAATATATCAGTCATGGGTGTATGCTATTTAAATTAACTGGCTTCCGGCATCAGTGAATTGGCTTTTGGAAAGTAAAACAATATCTGCATCTCACTGGTAGCTTCACCTTAATTTATAACAGCAGCACGTTCTGAGGTCCTCACAATTAAGTTCTAATTCAATAACACTTTCATCTTGAAGAAGCTGCCTGGCTTGAGCTGGAATTAGGCCTGTTGGGATGACCCATTTCCTCCAGAGAGGTTGAAAATACAGGCTTCAAGTGTCCCCTGGTGGCTGACAAGCAGAACCACCAAGGATGTATAACTCAAAAGTCTGGAATAAACTGGCACATGCCAAATTTCTTTCCCTCATCTCATTTATTCATTCATTCATTTAAAAAAAAATTATCAGGAATTAACTCTGTTATGCAATTAGAATCAAAGTAAAATAAAAAGATAAATGGGATCAAAAGATAAACTCCTCTGTGACAAACTGTTTATAGTAAGTAGAATGTGGGTGAAAATGAGTAGTTTCAAACCTCCCTGCTAAGTGCTATTATATGGTATTTATTAAATTCCAATCAAGTAATGTCGGTCATCTTTATTTTTGCAGTAAGTCTCATGGTAATTAATATTATCTACAAATTCCTGGAAAACAAAAGCAGCTATTTTCCACACTAAGTATAATTTATATAACTATATAAATCTAGAAAACACATAAATACGTATTTTTAGAGTTCTTCCTAGGAGTAAAATTAATCCATATTGCTTTTTATGAGTATCCATATTACTTTTTTATCCATAATCCTACCCTATCATGATATTTACAGTTTTAAAATTATCTTAATTCTTGCCAGGTCAGCATTATCAGATCTAACATGCAGATGAGGAAACTGAGGCAGAAGAGGCAGTCTTACCTGATAATTCAGTGTCATAGTTGAGTCTAGAACTCGAATTGTTTTATTGCGCTTGTTAATTTTCTTGGTGGATTCATCCTATGACCCTGTGTGGTTTCTAATGGTAAATATGTAGGGTTTTATGAAGTCACCGAGTAACATGAGATAGCAATTTGCAAGAAGGGTTAAAACACAAACGCACACATTGGATCACTTCCAACATCAGCTACTGAGCAGCTGTCACAATTCTCTTGAGTTGGACGGAGCCTTTTATCAAGTTATGAAAAGTCCCATATCCAATTACCAGTCCCCAGCGAGCATCACCCAGGCCCTCGCTTGGCACTGTTCAGCCAAATGATACTTGTGATGCCAAAGCAAAGTGAATACCTAAATAATTTAGTTGGGTCTTCTAATCCCAATTTAAAAAAGCTTATACTAACCCTAATTAGTATTTTACTCACCCAATGCAGGCACGTAACAATAATCTCCTATTGAATTTCCAACACTGAGAATGAAAGGTTGCAAGATATTTAAAGAATGTATTCTTGGTTAACATGAATCAATGATGTGAGTCAAGATGTTCACAAAGTTTGTTTATTTGAAAGATATCAATGGTTCTAGATGCAAACTACAAGACATTTATTAGATGGCCCCCCATAACCACCTAGAGATGGTGGGGGGAATTCTTGGCACTATCATTTTAAAGCTATGCTTTTCAGTACTTTCAATTGCTGTATTTTCAATTCAAAATTTTTTTTTGTTCCATCTCAAAATATTTTTGCAACTTTTCCTTATATTTTGTTCTGAACTATTAAAATAGCATTGCTATGAGCAATTTTTTGTTTGTTTTTATATACAATACTGTAAAACAAAAACTACCAGTTTTTAACATTTCCTCTGTACCATTAGTTTCTTTTTTGATAAAGGGTTAGCAGAATGATGAATATAACTATCATTTAACTTTAGATCATTGCTTTATGAGATGAAACAAAAACTCTTTGGGGTAGGTTTTATGATTGTGTGTGTCTTAGGTTCAACATTTTACAAAATTAAGCCTAGTTGGTTCCAAGGCCATACTTAAAATATCAGACAGTAAAATTGTACCTGTGGAACTTGAACCAAAAACTAATGTGAAGGCCTTCTTCAAACATTCTCAATTGTATTTTTACTTTCTTTTGTGCTTCTGTGTTCATTCATTTCTTATTTTGCTCACCCACAAATAAGCATGAGAGGGAGAGAAAAGGGAGGGGGGCGGAGAGGGCGAGAGACCCATCCACTCTAGGAAATGCATGCATGCACAAGCTCTAAAACTATTGTATTAAAATTATGCACAGGTGCTTCTGATAGAAAAGCAACAGTGGGAAATCTAAATCCAAATAGAAATGCCAAGTAAGAGATAAAAGGGCTTTCTAGCTTGGTGAACTTTCAACTGCATTTAAGGATGAACAACTTGATATTTTGGGGAACTCTTTAACTAGAGAAATAAGTAAACATCTGATCAAGAGGGCATAGGTGCTATGGCTGAGTGTGAAATTTTACCCTGCAAACCAGGAAAAACCATTGAGGTTTCAAGAAGGGGAATAAACTGACCAAGCCTGAATTTTAGTAAGGTCACTTAGGCAACTGTGGAAGGTACTGGAGGATGCATGGAGAACTAGAGCAAGGAGACATTAGATGCCTACTGCAATAATTCGAGCTTGAACTAAGGCAGTTAAGAGGGCAGGGAGAGGACACCTGACAATCTTCCCACTCAAAGTGGTCCTCGATCAGCAGCATAAACAGTGACTGGGATTGTCAGAAATAGACTCTTGTGCAACACCTTACCTTCTGAGTCAGTATTTTAACATGCCCCTGAGGTAATACGTATGTCTGGGAGGTACTGCTCACATTAAGGAATACAGCAGGGGTAGTTACTAGGAGGGAAAAAGTCACTATCTTAGGTGGGAAGTTTGAGGTGTTCATGGAACATCCAAGGAAGCTCATCCATAGCAGGTGGGCATACGGGTATGGAGGCTGGGTTGAAGTCTGGTTTGGTGATGCAATTTACAATTTATTGACCTGTTAGTACCTGAAGTCACGGTCCGACCTGTTTCCTGGGATTTCCCCAGGAAAAGCATATCATTAGTCAGGCAGAGGGCCCATGAGCAAGCCCTAAGAAATGCCATTATTTCCAGTCCCATACAGCACAAGGTACTCCACGAGAAACCGAAGGAGCTTCCAGTGGTAGGAATAAACACTGTGAGGAGTGGGAGGAAAGTTCCAGTGGCGGGATGCTCAACATTCTGTTTCCAGCAGAGGTCACACAAGTACAGACAAGAGTCCATTGGATTTGGCAATCTTGATGTCAGAGTAAAGCTATGGGTGCAGATTATTTCCCATTAAGTTCTTCCTTGACCTTAGTATGTGGGGATGTAATTTAGAGTTTCTGTTTTTCAAAGTTCAGATGAGTAGATATGTGAGAGGAGCTTGGGATGAAGCCAGTTTGCAAATGTTCTCTCTTCCAATAGGATGGTAAGTTCTTTGAGGAATAAGGAAGGCACATAAAGATGAGTAAGACCCAGTCCTAACTCTTGGTATATAACAAATAAGACAACTGTAGTACAAGATGGGACATGTATTATAAAATAGTATAGGGATTCAAGAGAAACATACCATATTTTGACAATCAGAAGAGGCAGCTTACTTCTCCTCAGTTGTTAGCATAGAAACATGTACATACTTAACAAAGTATATTACTTGATGACTTTTTCTCTCAACAAATCTGGTGCATTGTTGAAAAGTCCCACTTATTCCAAGATCCAAGGAAACTTCAAACTCATTCATGAGATATTTATTAAAATAACACATTTAGGGGAAAAAAAATCAATACAATGTATACATCATTACCGAAAACTGTATACCATCATACAAAAAAGGATTTTATTTGGGGAAAGCGATTCCTAATTTATGGCAAGTTTTACTTTCAGAAATAAGACCACAAAACAACACAATCTAATTCAATCTTAAAGGCTGGCATGCTGAGCAAGGAATGTTCTTATTCTTTGTAGAAGCTCCTTCTTTACACTGTCAGGTACCAGGGCTGAAATATAAAAATAAAAATATAAGAGTAGGAAGATTCCAATGAATATACGCCAATTTTAGACTTGATGTTTTTTTTTCAGGATGACTGATCTAAAATTTATTTATAATTCATTTTGTAGATACCCTCACAAGCTTTAATAACAAATTAGATAAACTTCTGAAAAAATAAAGTATATTTTCAATTATTATTTGAGTGAAATAATAACAAAATAAATGGAACATTGAGAAGAAACATGGGAAAATTCTTTAAACAAAGTGAAAAACAGCCTTTTTAAAACACAGAGACTATAACAGATTGGTAAATGTAATTCAAATGGAAAAGCAACTTAATAAGCTTGATCAAAATCACTGTAAACAAAGGCAAAAGACAAAAACTGGGAAAACACTTTTACAGAAATGGGCTAATCTCTCTACTCTAAAATTTTTTCAATTTGATAAGAAAGATCAGCGGGCTTTAGAAAAATGAGCACAGGAGATGAAGAATAGGAGAAACACACAGTTCTTGAACATACGAGGGGATAAACCTTACAAGAGAAATGAAAATTAAAACCACATTCAGATAACATGTTTTACCAATCAGATTGGCTAAAATCCAATGGTTAATAATATACTGTGTTGGCAAGACTGAGGGAAAAACTAGCACTCTCATATTAGCTGGTGGGAGTATAAATTGTTCCAACATTTTTGGGAAGGTAATTTGACAATATTTTATAGAAATAAATGCACATACTCTCTGACTCAGCAAAGAAGCAAAAACCACAACAGTGGTTACATTTCTTGTATTTTTACTTTTTTAATTTAAACCATGTGACTGTACTATTTGGATTATTAAACAAAAAATGAAAAGAAAAAAAAAAGCCCTAGCTTTGTAAATTTCAATAAACAAATCTATATTACTGTTCCTTTTCTAATTGCCTAATAAATAAGGACAATAGAGGATTAACTAACACTTCTAATGCTATATCTTGTACTCAGAGGAAATAGAAGGCTTCAGATATAGTTAAGTATTTCTATAAGAATTTCAGAAATAAGTACATAAATCAGATGATTCAGATACTCCTCTATAAATTGTTTAGTTTTAGCCTGTCTAGAAAGAGAGGTTGCATGGTTAATTCAAGTCCACTGGAAATGTGATCAATATGTTTATTAAATATACTTTTAGGTGATGGAGAACAGATGCTTTGCCTTGGGGTAGGGATAGGGTGTGAATGAATACAAAGGGATTGCTTTAATGGAGTGGTGGTTATATGAATTCATACATGTGTAAAAGTCACAGAACTGCACACTAAAAAGGTCAATTTTACTGTATATTTAAAAAAGTAAAATGCTTCTACTCTTCACAATAAAGACTAAGAGAACAGATTTATTTTCAGTTCTCTTTTCTTCCTTTACTCATTTTCTTGCAGGGGAGCTACAAAGAACTGTTATGTCCAAGATAACAGTGTTGAAGGAGGAGCAATTTCTAGCCTGTATAACCGGTTCCTAAGTAATGTTAACAAATTAGGCATAAATTACTGAAGAAAAATAAAAAAACAAATTTAGGCAAAATCACTTTAAAATATAAATTAATGGGTAAAACAATACGTACTGTTGGTTTTATTTTTCTTTCTCTGAGATATGTGTAGAGAAAAGGTCAGGTTTCTGTAGCTGTAACTAGGCCAAAAGATATGATGGAAAGGACCAAAGGATTCCTAGCTCCTTCCTAACAGGTAAGCAATTCAGAGAACTAGTAGTTTCTAAGAATAGTTTTCAAACGTATTTACTTATTTACACTTAAATTGTTTTTACTATTTTTGTGTGAGAAAACAATAGATCATCTAATTTACCTGGTTTCACTTAAACTTTCTCAAAGTAAATGGGGGGGAAATGTAGGTTCATCTGAGATAACCACATAATGTAGTTTCCTGACAATATTTATTACATAACGTCAGTGTTAACATACTTCTTTCTTTCCTTTGCCTGCTGTAAACAAGGCAGTAAAGGGAGAAATTAGGTGGTTACAGTGTGAATCTTAATTATGGGTTACCCTGAACATGAAGTTATGGCGCTACTACATTCTTAATTAGACATTCAAGAAGACAGAGCTTTGTTTATTTTTAATAAGCAAAGCAATAGAGCAATGACTCACGGACAGGAGTAAAACTTTGAATTATTAAATATTAAGTGAAGTCAGGCCATATTTAATAGTTTATAAATCTTAGCTTCAGGTATATTTACCTCTCCAAGATCCCATATTTTAAAAAAATGTCTTTCTTACCAATCATGTCAATTTCTTTGTATACTGTTTCAGAGTGCAAAAACATTTCACACCTCTTATTTCATCTGTTACTCAAAACCATGCTAGGGAGGCAGGGAGACAATTATAATTGTTCCTAATGAGGGAACACCAACTCTCCAAATGATTCTGGAAAAGCTGTTTATCCTTGTGGGAAGAAGGAAGAGCTGAGCCAGCACGACAGAAAAAGTCATGTCTTTAGCACATGTTTCCTTTCACACAATTTGTATTCCTTACCTCTGCCTTTTGGTGTGATTTCAGCCACCAAGTCATCAACAGTAACGTGTTCTAGTCCTTTTTCTTTAATTACCTCTTATGCAAAAGCAAAAAACAAATCATATCATTTAAAATCATTATCTGTAAGAAAGATTTTCATAGAGGAAGGGTTAAGATCATGTTTTTAGAGTACAGATTGGTCTTTTAAAAAAAAAAGAGGACACTTCTTTTTTAATGAATATTTAATTCAACTTTAAACACATTAAGTATTCACCAGATAATATCATAAAAGCCTGTTCATCTCTCAGGTAAATAATTTTAACTTAAATATAGCACAGAAAGAATTTGAACGATAAGGTCAAATCTAACAGTTATAAAAAGCTAGAAATTTATAGCTGCACAGATCTTATTTCACTGTTATACTAGCTCTTAAGTTTGTGGAGGGGGAAAAAGCTATTATTTGTGTCCAATTTAAAACTTCATAGCCCAAGATGAAAATACAAAACTCCTTTGCTCCTTTCTCTTCTCTAGTCTGGGCCAAAAGAAACAAGAGGGAAAGTAGTTAACATTTACTGAACCCCTACTGTGTGCTGGATGCTTTACATCATTTAATATTCACAAAATTAAATGGGCTGGGCATTTTTCCCGCTGCACAGATGAGGCAACTGAAGATCAAAGATTAAATAACTCATCCAAACATGAGTTGAAATACAGCTCTAGTCTTTTACCAGTGAAGAGCTGTATGACTTCAAAGTCTATGCTTTTACTAATTTGTCATAATTAGCTAATGTTATAAATAGTCACGATTATCATTATTACCTGTAGAAACCATTACAATACAATGGGAAATCATTAAAAATAACCAAAATGCTATTATACTAAAAGCTGAGCCAGAAAGGAGGCTCATCACAGTGCATGTGTAATCTATCTAATGGTATCATCATCAACATTAAGCAATTTAACAAATCCCCATTCTACATTTCAAGAAAGTATAATTCCCTAAGAGCTTTTAACATGAATTTTTCAAAATAACACTGTTAAAGACAAGAGAGATAATTCCTAAGTACCTAACAACCATAAAGTACTCAGTTGGTTAAATTAAAACATGTTAGGAATAAGGAATGTTTCACTTTGGATAGGCACACTGAAAAAAGTGAGATTCTATATTTTAAAGCCATAGAAAATTTTGCTTCACTTGTTTTGAGAGAAATACACACAAAATTTCTATAAATTTAGGAATTAGGTCTACATTGTATCACAGAGAGGAGGAAATCATCACTATAAGAATCAATTTTCCATTTGTTTAAAATTATGTCTGACCACTTATATACCTTTAAAATACTGACTAATTTTTCTAGTGAACGTCAAACCAACATCGAGAACAATGGAATTAGCTTATCTTCTAAATGAAACTGATTACCTTTACAGTGTGCCTTCAATTGATCCTTCCAGCCACATTCAATTAATTTAGCTCTCAGCAACTCTTTGAGGCTGTAGGAAAAAAAGTGTTTTCAATTTAAACTACAACAATGTGCAGTATCTCAGATAGGAATGTTTCAATCACAAGTTCAACCCTTCAATTAAAAATTTCCTGCTTTCCAGTCATAAAATTTCAACCATGTCCTGATCCTGGTTCTATTGCAAAATATTTAAATAGTTCTTTGATCTTGTGGGGACAAGGCCCCCTTTTCATTACCAGCAAAGTAAAATGAAGAGGATGGGGCACAATACTTCTCAAGAAACTCGACTCTGGCCTTCTTATTCCCTGTCTACCTCCCTCCACCAACAGGAACATTGTGGTGCTACACTTTTGGAGGGTATTAGCTGAGCTTGGAGCAGCTGCACCTCTGAAATCTTCAAACTCCAAAATCCCTTCCTTGACTACAAATTCTTATCCTTCAATTCTCTTACTTCCCTATTATTTCTCTCTCTATCTCAAAGACTCCCCCCTCCCTTTTTCCATTAACCTTATAAATGATATCGGGTCTAGTAATAATTAATGTCGTTTTTAAACATTCGTTTAAAATCTTGCTTGACTTGTATTGACATAACCTTCAAACACGTGGTATCTACAGAACATGTGAAGTGCAATTAACAAGTTTTGCTTGAAAAAGTTTGTGTTTGGTTTGGTTTTTGTTGCAAAACTAGGGCTAAGAAGATGGCGGATGAAGAGCATATTTGGCACTGCATGCTTTACGAGTTCCAATTAGGAAGAAAAGCAAGTGAGGCTGCAAAAAACATCTGTAGTGCTCTTGGTCAAGATGCAGTTAGCGCCAGAAAATGCCAGTGTTGGTTTGAGAAATTTCGCGAGGGAAATTTTTCGTTAGATGACAAGAGTGGTCGAGGCCGTGTGTCCAATTTTGATCAAGAAGCTCTTCAAGCTCTTTTGGTGCAAAATCCTCAAATTACCCAACAAGAGCTTGCGACAACTTTAAATTGTTCACAAAAAACAATTTCCGTGCACTTGGCAAAGTCCAAAAGTTTGGAAAATGGGTTCCTCATGAGTTGACCGACAACAACCGTAATCAAAGAGTCACAATTTGCAGTTCGCTCCTCTCTCGTCAAAACCGTTTGCCGTTTTTAGAGCAAATTGTTACCTGAGATGAAGAATGGGTGCTGTATGTTAATTTGAAAAGGCGGCCTCAATAGTTGGACAAAAATGAGGCTCCGCAGCCCACGCCAAAACCTGACTTGTATGCGAAAAAAGTGATGTTGTGTGTTTGGTGGAATTTTAAAGGAATTCTTCATTATGAACTTTTACCATCTAACCAAACCATTACAAGTGCAGTGTATAGTGCCCAATTGGAAAGGTTAGCCCAAGCTTTAAGAGAAAAAGAACCCGCGCTGATTAATCGAAGGGCGTAATTCTTCACCACGATAACGCACGACCGAATACTGCAAGAATCACTGCTGAAAAACTGCGCCAGTTGGAATGGGAAGTTCTCCCTCAACTTGCATATTCTCCTGATATTGCCCCTTCCGATTACCATTTGTTTCGTTCTTTGCAAAACTTTCTTCTTGGAAAAAAATTTAATAATGAAGAATGCCTCAAAAATGCATTGACTGAATTTTTTGCATTAAAATCACAAGAATTTTACAACAGAGGGATTAAAATGCTTCCTGAGCATTGGGCACAAGTAGTAGAAAACAACGGCAACTATATTGTTGATTAAATTTTGTTGTATTGTTTAAATAAATTCGATTTAAAAAAGTATTAGAAAACGACATTATTACTAGACCTAATACATCAATTATGTATTTCATGAATCTAACACTCCCCTCTACACACACACTTTAACGATTCAGTAAATGGCATGCCTATCATCATTTAAATTTTTTTATTTATTGATTTTTAGAGAGCTAGGTAGGTAGGACGAGAGGAAAGGAAAGGAGGGAAGAAAAGGGAGGGAGGGGAGAGAAGGAGGAGGGAAAGAGGGAGAGGGATAGAGGAAGAGAGATTTATTGTTCCATTGAATTGATGCATTGATTGATTCTTGTATATGCTCTGACCTGAGATCAAACCTGAAACCTTGGCTTATGGGAAGACGCTCCAACCAACCAAGCTACCTGGCCAGGGCCCTATCATAATTTAATGAGCAGGGTTTTCTTGTTTCTTACTGGTTTAAAAAAAGGTGTATATTGCAACTAACGGCATCATGGATGTAATAAAATAGTTTATCAGTACTTTCTGTTCCTTTTTCATACCCACTCTAAAAAATCCTCAGTCTTCAACCTAAATCATCTTATTTCTCAGCTTAAAACATGTCATATTCCAAACCAAACCGCTTCTTTCAATATTCCTGTATCTCCACATGGGACATTTTCATCTCACTATTTAATCAGGTCACTCCATCTGTACAGGGCTCAAGCCCAACTCACGCTTCTCTCCACCCTCAACCTGTTCTCCTTGTCACGAGGGCAACTCCATTCCTCCGGTTCCTCAGGCTAGAACTTGGCAGCGTCCTTCACCGCAACTCTGTTTGCACTACACATCCAACCCATGAGCAAATCCTACTGGTTCCAGTTCTAAAATACGTACCTGTACCCATGTTTTTCATCATCTCTGCCCTTGTGCAAGCTACCACCTTGTCTATTACAGACTGCATTGTTCCCAAAGCCTCGTAACTTGTTCCCCTGCTCTTTCTCCTTGCACACTTCCATTCTCCTCCCACCACTCAAATCTCTCCATTGGCTTCCTACTTTACCCTGAATCAACTTCAAGTTTTACCATAGCCTAAACGGGCCTCCATGCTCTGCCCTCTCCCCAGCTGTGCCCTTCTTCCTTCCCCCTTTAGTTTATTCAGTGCCATTAGCTTCCGTGTGCTCCTCAAAATGCCAAAAAGTTCCTATCCTGGGACCTTGGAGTCCATCCATCTCCCTCATATCCTTCTGATCTCTTATCAGTGAAGCCCTGTTTTTTCTCTCCAAAATAACATACCCCATTATCCTCTGCTTTGGTTTCCCTCTAGAACTCATCATTACCTGACACATTAGACATTTCTTGTCTGTTTTCCCCCATTAGCATGCAAGTTCCACGAAAGGACAGACTTCGCTTTGTTCACTACTATCACTTCAGCACCTTAGCAGGACGTGGCATGTGGTAGACACTCAGTAACTAAGCCACATGAAATAAACAAACAAATACATAGTCCCCTACACTCATTACTGCCAATACTAAGCTCTGTTTCCCAAGGCACCTTTCTAGTTTCCACCTTCTTCCTCATTTCTGATTTTACTTAAAAAAACAAAAAACCACAACCTAGTTTTCCTTTCCATTTTACTGTTTTTCATTTTTAACCCAATACAATCTTCTGTATTGTCGCTAACGCTTCCAGTCTATGCTCCACACTGCCAGAACAACATTCCTCAAGTGCAAATGTGATCTAGTCATTCCCTTAAAAAAACCTTTTAATGCCTCCCAGCAGCCAAGGATAAAATCAACAACAGATGTTTTTGCAAACCCACCACCCATTTTCCTGTCCCCTTTTTTTCTTTGACAGAAGAAACAAAACACACAAAAAAAACAAAAAACCTCTATCACTCTCAGTGGAAATCTGGGTAGGGTTCTAGTGATGGACATGGGACTGAGGCAAGGGTGATCATGACTGGCCTATTACCTAAGAAAGACGGTAATCAAGGCAGTTCTTTATTAAACTATTAGGAGGAAGGCAGTCTGAGCCAGAGGGCTATACATTTTGAATTACTAATCCCTGTAGGGAGAGCCTGCCTGAGAATAAAGCCAACACAGAGGAAAGCAGAGCACAGAGGCAAAGAACGATATATTGTTGACAATAATTTTTGAGTGCCTGAATCCAGCGGTGCCTGAAGCAATTTTAAGCTCTAGACTTTTCGGTTAGAAGAGCTTATGTATTTCCATTAGTTAAGCCAGTTTCTATCACTTTCGACTAAAAAAATCTTATACAAAGTCTACTCCTCCAGTCCACACAGCGAATACTCTTTATCTCCTCCTAGCTTTAATCCTGCACTTCCCCAGAAGCTGTGATTCTGCACATTGTTCCATCTGCCTAGATTGTCTACTCTACTCCTCTGGCTTGAAAAACTAATCCTTCTTCCCCAGCTGAAGTACGCCTTTTACAGTTCTGTGAGATCTTAACTGATCACCTTACCCCGCAGGTTCCCTACATATATTTATCTCACAATTCATCAATCATCCTGTTTCTGGAAGCCTTTCTTGATTCCTCAGCCTCTCCTTTGTACTTGCAAACGTTTGCGTTCATTTTTTCAAATATTTACTTGGCCAATTAAGAACTAGGTGTGATACTGGATATACACTTGTATTTCTGCTGTCAAGTAACTTAAGATTATATTGAAGGATACAAACTAGCTAAGTAGGTGGTCACGATACAACCAAGGTATTTGGGAGTTAAGAGATACTCAAAAGAAATATTTAAATTAAGACTTGAAAGATGAGCTAGAAGTAGCTAAAGATTAGGAGGAAAAAAAAAGGAATGTTTCAGATCGTTGGATGAGTATTAAAAAAGAGCGTGGTAACTAATACTGATTCTATTATGCTGTTCCCCTATTCAAGAGTGGGATCATTATGTCTCCAACTGCAGTTATTTAGGAATTTTTTTGCTATTATACAATCTCTGAGTCATTTCTTGTTTATCTTTCTACATCACTTCCCTCTAAGTCTTGCAATACTGAATAGGCCTAACTATGGTTTATAGATGTTAGGAAGGGAAGCTTTTGACAATCTATTTTTCTGTAATTCTTTCCACTGACATCAGTTTCATTCCTTCATATTTAGGTTCTTGTATATAACGTAACTGTAATTTAAAGGTGTTAGGTGTAATTACTCACACAGTCTATATTACTTACCGTTCTCTTTCTCCGGTTTCTATCAACTTTTGGTTAATCGCTGCTCTCATCTGCGCATCTTTGTTCATCTTGCTAACCTGAACATCAACACGTATTTTCAGATATAGAACACTAATAAAGCATTTCCTCCTAAATCCTCTAGGCAAGCACCTCCACACCTATCACATTCTATCAACTGAAGGGGCGATAAATACCAACAATGTGTTAACAATGTCATTACTGCATCCCAAGGAGGCATACGGACAAACTTATTCAATAGCTCCCTTCTCCCATATACCCTTTATTAAAATGAGTCTGTAAGTAGCACGTATTGTAACATTTACTAAACACTTATGTGCCTGGTCCTGGGCTAACACATTGTTATTGTTTTTTTTAACTCATTCAACTCCCAGAACCTATTGTCTTATGTAAGCATCATTCACATCATCTACATTTTACAGATGAGGAAACTGAGGCAGAAAGTCATGACAGTAATTTTGAACCCTGGTGGCTTCGACACCGCCCCCAAACGCTTGAACAGCTCATTATTACGGACAGGTAATCATTTCTGTTCCAAATTCTGGGGAAGCCATACTAACACAGGCTAAGGATCAATCAGTAAAAGACTAATGCCGAAACCGATCTGGCTCAGTGGATAGAGCGTCAGCCTGCCGACTGAAGGGTCCCCGGTTCGATTCCGGTCACAGGCACGTCCCCAATGGGAGGTGTGCAAGGGGAAGCTGATCGATGATTCTCTGTCATCAATGTTTCTAACTCTCTATCCCTCTCTCTTCCTCTCTGTAAAAAAAATCAATAAAATATATTAAATAGAAGATTAAGCACTGTTGGTGAAAAGAATAAATTTCCAGGTTAAGATTGTAAGTGCTTTGCTTCTCACCAGGGACGTATCCAGAATCAGGACGGCTAAGCTAGCTGTCAAGTCTTTTTTTGTGTGTGTGTATATTTGTGCTTTTGCTCTCGATCAAAGCCTGCTGGTGGGAGAAAACAAATCCCAAACTAATCCCCAACTTGGAAAATTCTCGATTTCCAGTAAAAACAGGCAGCCCAAACCAAAATGGTGCAGCAAGAAGAGAGAGGAGGCCAGGCTGGGGAAACTTGGAACCAGCTGACATTCCGTCCGCCCCTGAGCCTGTCAGTCACTCCAGACGGCTTCTGCTGCCTGCCATGCATGTGCCCTGCAGGAAAACTCAGGCCGGCAGGGACTTCTCAAGAGTTGAAATTTCTTTTTTCTCTCTCTTTTTTTTTTCTTCCTCCCCAAGTGCAATGGAAAAAGCAGGGGTTGAGCAAGGAACAGAACATGCTTGCTTCTGTACCTGGGAGGTTAACCTTTTCGAAAACAATTCTCTAAGGTCCAGTCCTGTAGCATCCCCAGAATTATGGAACCTCATAATTCATCTCGCCTTTGGCCCCTAAAAAAAAATACGGATAGTGACCTTGGACAAGTCCATTCTTTAAAAAAAAAAAAAAAAAAAGACCTCAGTTTTCTCACCGGTAAAAACCAGGGCGCTAGGGGGAATCCCTCCCAAGGGGGGGTGGGGGGGTGGGGGGAAAGAGAAAACGGGGCGGAGACAGCGGAGAGGCGGGAGGGGAGGAGCCAGAACACAAAGCGAGGACTGGCTCCGGGCCAACTCCGGAGCACGCCCAGTCGGAGAGCCCTACAGGCCCGCGAGCGCGGGTCGGGGAAGCTATAACGAAAAGACAGCACATCGGGAAGGAGCCTGGGCTGGGCCCGGGTCCCGGCCCTGAGGACCACGGGCATAGCTCACCACCATCACCGCGGGCGAGGGCCGTCCCTTCCCAGCGACGAAATGACCCTTGCGCTGGCGACCGTTACCTACCACACTCTTCGGCTGCCCGGACTTAGACCCTCAGTAGCTCGGGCGCCCAAGCACACAGAAAGCTAGCACACGCATTTCCGGGGCGGGGCCTCGCCGCCCTGCCTATCAGGTGAGACTCTTTTCACCGGCGCGGGCCGCCTCCTGGCCGCTCGGCCCTCTGGGTAAGAGAGTCCAGCTCCTTACTGTCGCGCTTTGGCGGGGCGCCCTCTAGAAACTACGTATCCCGGCATGCCACCGTCGTCGACGCTCTCTCGCGGGCACTACATTTCCCAGGAGGCACGCTGCTGCACCGCGGTGATTAGTGGGATGGGAACCACGCAGCCGCCTCCCAGCCTCGGCGCGACGAGGAGGGAAGCGCGGACCTTTCAACAAGAGCTTTATTAATTCTCGCCGCTAGGATCCTGGGGGGCGATGGAGGTGGCCGCTAATTGCTCGCTGCGGGTGAAGAGACCCCTGTTGGATCCCCGCTTCGAGGGTTACAAACTCTCCCTCGAGCCGCTGCCCTGTTACGAGCTGGAACTAGAAGCAGGTGGGAAGCGGCGGCGGGGTCCCCTTGCACTCTTTTCCTTATTATTCCCTTTCGGGTGCCGAGGGCCAGCCCCTTCCCGCATGTTTCTTCCTTTCTGACCCGGGGCCCTTCCTTACGGCCCCGTCGGGCTGGGGCGGGCACGGGGGTGGCGGATTCTGGAGAAGGACGTCCATCCCGGACCTTCGTGGGAGCCACCTGCTCGCAGCTCTTCTGCGGCGGGACCCCCTCGGCCGCCGGGCTCCGGGGCCCCGCACGCAGAGGCTGCTCCGGCCGAGACCGCCTGTCCGTCCCGGCCTGGCCTAGCCTGGCCTGGCCCTGGCTGCGGAGAAAGCTCAGCACTTGCTTTCCCCTGGAGCCTCTTCTGGGAACCTGTGCGTGGAGAAGTCCCCCCTCTTTGGAGGACCCCCAGCTCCTGCTGCTTCTGGCCGAGTCCGACCCATTTAAAAAAATAAATAAATATATTTTATTGATTTTTTTTTTTTTTTTTTTTTTTTTTTTTTTTTTACAGAGAGGAAAAGAGAGGGATAGAGAGTTAGAAACATCAATGAGAGAGAATCATTGATCAGCTGCCTCCTGCACACCCCCAACTGGGGATGTGCCCGCCATCAAGGTACATGCTCTTGACCAGAATCGAACCTGGGACCTTTCAGTCCGCAGACCGATGCTCTATCCACTGAGCCAAACCGGTTTCGGCCGGACCCATTTCTTAAAAAGGGGGAAACTATTGTAGTTCTGAGCATGTTCAGTTACCTGGATGATATTAGCCAAAGAAGGGGACTGGTTTGTAGAGAACTGCTCTAGGAAATTGTGAGGAAGAGTCGAGATTTTCGTACCCATACTTCTTAACGACCACTTGTGTTTATCTGTAGCAGGCCAGATAGTCAGCACGTGACCTTTAAAAAATAAAAATAAAAAAGTTGAAAAATGGCATTTTCATTGAGGATAGAAAGAATGGTATTTTCATTGAGGATAGAGAGCCCAGAGATGAGATGTGCGTTTTTAATACACACCCCTGCTGATTCTGGCGCATGTTGTCTGTAGATCACACTTTGAGAAATACTGATCTACAGTTCATAGATTTGATAGTGTCCAATAAGTAATGTGTTTTAATTCATTTATAAAATTCAGAAACATCTATTGGGACCCTGCTTTATGGTACATGAGAACATCAAGATGAGCATGACAGTCTGTAAAATAAAAGTGCAATTATCGCCCAGACCAGTTTGGCTCAGTGGATAGAGCGTGGGCCTGTGGACTAAAGTGTCCCAGGTTCGATTCTGGTCAGGAGCATGTACCTTGGTTGCAGGCACATCCCCAGTGGGGGATGTGCAGGAGGCAGCTGATAGATGTTTTTGGCGCTCTATTCTTTCCCTTCCTCAAGTGCAATTATCTAGTTGGGAAGAAAAGTAAACAGATAATTATAAAACAATGTGGTAAGGCAGTGGTTGGGATATGTACAGAACGTAATGGTAGTACTTAATCTTTCCAAACCAGCCTGGGAGATCTGGGAAAGCTTCCCGGAGGAATCGAGATCTAAGTTGAACGTTGGAGGTTAGGTAAGAGTTGATACAATGAGCTTGGTTTTCTTTTCCACTCCCTATCAGTAAATGGGACCACCATGTTAAGTTAGTTTATGCATTTAAAAAGTCATCCCAGCCCTAGCATGTTTGCTCAGTGGATAGAGCATCGGCCTGTGGACTGAAGGGTCCTGGGTTCAATTCCTGTCGAGGGCACATGCCTGGGTTGTGGGCTCAATCCCCTGCAGGGGAGCCAATCAGTGAATCTCATCACTGATGTTTCTCTCTCTCCCTCTGTTTTTGTTCATAAGTCTACAGATCAGGTAAGTGGTTCTATTTTTGTTCAATTATGGCTCTGCTAGGTGTCTCTGCTCATCTTGGCTGGACTTCCTATGTTTGGGGGTTCTCTGGCCACAGACTGGCTTAAGGTTATCTCAGATGGTCCCCACTTAGCTCTGCTCCACTCGATCTCTCATTCTTTAGCCGGCTGGTCCAGGCTTACTCCAAGAGACAAGTAGCAGTGCACACTTTCTCAAGCTACTGCTTGGAATAAGTTTGCTGTTGTCCCATTGTGTGGAGAACGGCTACAGCGTTTGGACAGGTTCAAGCCTGGGACTAATGAGAGGCCACGGTCCTCTCGTGGCAAAACCACGTGCAAGTCCTAGTTTGGAGGGCAAAGCCCTCCCAGCACAATGATAGCCAAAGGCTGTGGTCATAAGCTTGACCTTATGGTGGGAACCTGTGGTCCCACGTGGCTGAGTGATGTGGGCTGTGGGAGGTGCAGCAAGTAAATAAAGCTTGATCAGGTGCATGTCATTGAGTAGATTGGAAACTCACCAGAGTGTTGTAACCACGCCCTTCCTTTGCCTCTTGGAATCTGGCTATAAAATAAAGACATGGTTTTCAGGCTGTGGTGCTGTCTCCATTGGAGAGCTTAGCGCATCCCATCCAGACCCAGCTTTTTTCTCTTCTCTGTCTTTTCTCAATCCTTCACCGCCCCCTCTCAGGCTCACCAAACCTGGCTGTGCCGGCTCGGCACACCTTTGGCCTAAAGTAAGCAAATCATATAGTCACCTCTAGAATAATTGTAGCAACCGCATACCAAATGGCATAGGCCCGGGGAGGCATAAAAAGTTGGGACCATTAGTGCAGATCTGTGTAGTTTGCTTATGTTGATGGAGTTATTTCTTCATTAAACCCCTCTGTTCAATCTGTCAGCAAATCCAGTGGAAGATTTTGGCTCCTTCATGCCTCTATCCTTGTCTAAATCACAGTTATCTCTTACCTGAACTATAGTAGCTTCCTTGACTATCCTTCCTGTCTTCATTTTTGGGCACCGTCATTCCATTCTCCATAAGGCAGTACAATCATAGTTTTAAATCTGTATTATTATTTTTTTAATATATTTTATTGATTTTTCACAGAGAGGAAGGGAGAGGGATAGATACCCTGTTTCCCCGAAAATAAGACAGTGTCTTGTATTAATTTTTTCTCCCAAAGTTGCGCTAGGTCTTATTTTCAGGGGATGTCTTATTTTCGGGGAAACACAGTAGTTAGAAAAATCGATGAGAGAGAATGATCGACCAGCTGCCTCCTGCACACCCCCTACTGGGGATGTGCCCGCAACCAATGTACATGCCCTTGACCGAAATCAAACCTGGGACCTTTCAGTCCGCAGGCCGATGCTCTACTATCCACTGAGCCAAACCAGTTTCGGCTAAATCTGTATTATTTAATACGTTCGTTCCACTAGACCACATGTGTCAAACACAAGGCCCGCGGGCCAAATCCGTCCCGCCAGGCCTTGCAATGTGGCCCACACTGCGCTGTCATCACTGCACTCCACTGCGTTTCCATCACAATGACAGTTTATGACTGTTCAGTAAACCATTCGGCCCGCGATTTAGGCTGGATTTTAGATTTTGGCCCCTTCTCTGATTGAGTTCGACACCCCTACACTAGACTGTGAGGTGTTTCTCCTTTACTCGCTACTCTGCCATTGCTCTTAGCATAGCACTGTGGTCGGGAAACTGCAGCTCTTTTGCCCCTTGAGTGTGGCTCTTCCACAAAATACCACGGCCTGGGCAAGTCTATTCTGAAGAAGTGGCGTTAGAAGAAGTTTAAGTTTAAAAAATGTGTCTCTCAAAAGAAATTTCAGTTGCTGTACTGTTGATACTTGGCTCTGTTGACTACTGAGTTTGCCAACCACTGCCATAGCAGATGCTCAATAAGTTGAGTGAGTGAAGGACAGGAGGAAAAAATCTCCTGGGAAAGGGGGGCAGGACTTAAAAAGATAGGTGAGGGCACTGTTTGTCTTTTGGATTTTCTCTTGGCATTGTTCCCCAGATTTCTTCATGGGGCCTTTCAATAAAAATAAAGCTCATCTGCCATAAAAAGCTCAACTTCTTAACTTGCCAAGTGGAGATGTTTCTTTTTTTTTCCTTCTTTTTTTCTTTTAAAAAAAATATATTTTATTGATTTTTTTACAGAGAGGAAGGGAGAGAGCTAGAGAGCTACAATAGAAACATCCATGAGAGAGAAACATTGACCAGCTGCCTCTTGCACACCCTCTACTGGGGATGTGCCTGCAACCAATGTACATGCCCTTGACCAGAATCAAACCTGGGACCTTTCAGTCCGCAGACCGACGCTCTACCACTGAGCCAAACCGGTTTCGGCTGGAGATGTTTCTTAAAAACTGTCATGTAGCCCAGCAGTTGTGACTCAGTGATTGAACATGGGCCCATGAACCAGGAAGTTAGGTTTGATTTCTGGTTAGGACACATGCCTGGGTTTCCGGCTCTGTGAAGGTTAAATTTGGACAGTGAGAGGGATGGAAACAGGGAGACCAGCTTAACACTTCTACAAAGTTCACATGGAGGGACTTATGTTATTTACTAGAGGTGGAGGATGAAAAAGAGGTTAATTCCTTTAAAAATTATCTCTAGAGAGAGTGAGGTGTGATTCAGGAGCTCCTCCTGACAGCTTGACTTCTTTTACACTAACCCAAGGAACTTACATTCATTCAGCACAGTGTCAGTATGGGGAAAGCTCTGCATTTAGGATGGGAGGATGAAGATATGGTCCCTGGACCCAAAGACCTTGGGGGTTTATTCTCTTGTCTTAAGTGGTGTCATTAAATGGTTCTAAAATTTCCGCTGCTGTGTAAACAGTATATGTCACTTTGTCTTTTTCTATTTCTGGATAGTTATCTTATAGATTTTTTCCCCCCTAGAAACTTTATTCAGTAAATGTGTTTCCCCATCCCCATATTTTACCTAGCTAACTCATATTGCATATTTTCTTCTTGATTTATGTGTTACTTAGAGATTCCTTTCTTGAGTTAGAATCTACATTTCAGAATCTGTACTGTCACAATAATACCTGCTACTTCATAGACTGTCTCAGTAGTATTCGATTTCTTTTCTATGGGAAGACTATGAGTTCTGTATTGATGAATCCTGTGTCCATGTTCTTCAATGCTTTATCTCTAAGGCTGTTGCATGCCTGTTGAGTAATGGATTATTTTATATAATACATTAAACAGCTTTATTGAGATATGATTGGCAAAAGGCCCCACATATTTAAGTGTATAGATTGGCAAAATTTGACATAGGTATATACTCATGAATTTATAACCACAATCAAGATATAAAATTTAGCTGTCATTCCCCAGAGTTCCATGTACCCTTCTGTAACCAGACCTCTATTCTATCTTAAGATAATACACCCCTTCAATTCCTAGGGAACTGCTGATGTCTTTCTTCTGTCACTATATGTTAGTTTTTGGGTTTGGTTTTTTTTTTGGTGGTTTTTTTTTTTTTTTTTTTTTTTTTTGGCATTTTCTAGAGTTTTAAATTCATGGAATTATACAGTGTGCATTCCTTTTTATCTGTTATATTTTAGTCAGCATAATTACTTTGAGTTCATCCTAGTCGTATTGAGAGAGGGATATTGTTAGTCTGACTATAATTCTGGACTTTTCCTAATTTTCCTTGTAAATCTGTCAGTTGTTGCTTCATATATTTTTAAGCTCTGTTTTGTTGTATAAACACTGATTATTGTATCTTCTTGATAAATTGACCTCTTTATCATTCATTATGAAATAACCTTCTTTAACCTTGGTGATAGTCCTTGCTCTGAAATCTACTGTCTGATAATAAAATAGTCATGCCAGCTTTCTTTTTATTAATGTTACCGTCGTGTGTGTGTGTGTGTGTGTGTGTGTGTGTGTGTGTGTACGTACGAACTACCAGTGCATAGCACCACAAAGACACGCAACTAACTGAGACACTGGCTGGGCTGGATTGAATGTTTTTTTTAATGGATCAGTTTCATCACCTTTGTTGACTTATCAGCTATTGCTTTTGTTTTGTTATTTTAATAGTTGCTTTGGACTTTAAGTATACAGCTTTAACTTATTATATGATACATTCAAATGATATTATGCTACTTCACATGTAGTGTAAGACTCTTACAATACTATATATATTTCCATTTCTCTCCTGCTGGCCTTCATGCTATTGTCATGTATTTTACTTTTACATATAATTGTAAATTCACAATACATTGTTACTATTTTTGTTTAAAGAGTTAATTATCTCAAAAAAATGTAAATGATAAGAAAAGCTCATATATTTCTCTTATAGTTGCCATCTTTAGTGCTCTTCATTTCTTTATGTTGATCCACATTTTTTTAATCTATAATTTTCCTTCTGCCTATAGGTCTTTGTGATGCATTTTTCAATTTTTGTATGTCTGAAAACATTTTTATTTTGCCCTGGTTTTAAGAAGACATTTTTGCCACATGTAGAATTCTAGGTTGACAGTTTTTTTTTCTTCCACTACTTTTAGAGATGTTTCCCCGTTGACTTTTTGCTTTTATGTTTCTGATGAAAAATCTGTTATCTTTGCCTTTTTATGTATGACATCATTTTCTCTGGCGGCTTTTGTGATTTTTTTCTTTTTCTTTCACTTTGGTTTTGAGCAGTTTGGGATGGCTTTCCTCATGAGTCTCATGCTTTGATTTTGTTGGTCTTCCTAAATCTATGGATTTATAGTTTTCATCAGGTTTAGTAAGTTTACAGCCATTATTTCTTCCATTCCTCCCCCAACCCCCTCCTTTCCTTTGAGAAATCAAGTTGCCCATTTTTAGATTGCTGGAAGTTGACCCCAGTGCCGTTTTCATTTTCCCACATTCCTTTTGTTCTCTGTTTTATTTTTTGATCTATTCTATATTTATGCCTTTAATTTCACTAATCTTTTTTCCCAGTCTCTAATCTGTCATTAATATATAAGTCTATTTTCATTTTAGAAATTGTAGTTTTCATTTCTAGAAGTTTGATTTAAATAATTTTTACAACTTTCCTGTCTATCATTTTGATCATATGGGACATGCTTTAATAACTGTTTTAGTGTTCTCTTCTGCTAATAATAAGTTCTGTGTCAGATATGTCTTGAATTTCTGTTGATTGTTTGTTCTTTTTATGAGTTTTGTTTTCTTTCCTCTTTGCATGTCTGATAATATTTGACTGGTTGCCAGAAATTGTGAATTTTAACTTGTTGGCTGCAGAATATATTTGTATTTTTATAAATCTTCTTGAACTTTGTTCTGAGTTACTTGGAAACAGATTAATTGGGTGTTGCTTTTATGAATTGTTAGCCTAGTCTGGAGCAATGCATAGGGCTAATTATTTGAGAGAAGTTTTTTCTGTGTACTCTATCCATCAGCCCATGAATTCTGAGTTGGGGTAACAGTTTCAGCTCTCAGCCTTGTGCTGAGTGCTTAAAATGATTCTCTCTCCTCCTTTCAGATGGTTCTTTCCCTGCCCTGAGGTGGTTTACTCAGTCATATGCCATTAGTTGAGAGACACCCTCTGATTTTCCTCTTTCTGTGTTGCTCTCTTCTCTAGTACTCTTGACAGTCTAATGAACTCAAGTTGCCTTGTACAACTGCCTAGACCAGTGGTCGGCAAACTGCGGCTCAAGAGCCACGGTTTGCCCGTCTGTTGACTAATGAGTTTGCCGACCACTGCCCTAGACTTTCACTCAGTTTCCACAACAAGGGGATTCTCTCAGGTTCTTCTCTTCATGCCAAGACCCGGAAACTCATTCAAGGTGGTAGTAAGCTGGGGCAGCGCTTGGGCTCACTTCCTTTGTTTCTCATTTCTTAGGGATGACTGTCCTTTGTTGCCTGAAGTCTCATGTCTTGAAAACCATTGTTTCATATAATTTTATCCAGTTTATTTAATTTTATCTTATTTTCTCTTTCTGATGGCAAGATAGAACTGGTCACTATTATTCTGCCTTGGCTTCAAGAAAAAAATGTTCAATATTTATTTTTAAGTAAAAAAAAATAGAATAGTAGAGTTCAGACAAAATTGAAATGGGTTAATATAAATAATGAGAGCATGGGAGAAGTTTGAGAAGTACAGGGTAGGAAAGAGCCCTGCTTTGGGAACAGGGCAAAAAGGAGGAAACCTTTTTCATTTGTTTGTTATGGAAGTTGGAAGTTTTTGACATACTAAAGTGGAGGAGAAGGGACCAGTAGAGCGAGATAACTGCCAGAGGAAGGACCTAGAAGAGGGAGGAGAGAATGGAATCCCAAGCACCTTTGTGAGAATTTGCCTTGGAAGGGAGAGTGAAACAGGGAAATCAACATTTCTTCTTCTGTACCATGTAGCAAACACTTTACATGTTTTAAGGTAACATTTGTCAAGAATATTTTAGGACGAGTACCATTAACAGGTAAGACAGGGTAGGAAGGTTAGGTAACTTAACCAGGTTAGTTGTCAGTGGGAAATCTATACCTTTCCCACTAAAGAGCACATGCTGTTCCCCCCTCCCCTCTACTCCCCTTCTCTTCCCTCCCTTTCTCTTCCCTTTTTTTTCCCCTTTTTCTTCCCTCCTATCCCTTTCCCTTTCCTCAAAAGGGAAAGAGAGACAGGCAGACAGACAGACATCAATTTGTTGTTCCACTTATTTGTGCATTCACTGGTTCATTCCCATATGTGCCCTGACCAGGGATCAAACCCACAACCCAGTGCGTTGTGATGCCACTCCAACCAACTGAGCTACCCTGCCAGGGCTGTTTGTAATTTTTTTTTTTGCAGTGTCTCTGGCTGTTTCTTCAGGGCAGGGAGAATAAAAGCTGGTGAAGATTATGGCTATAGTTGGAGTAAAGGAAGAGAAGAGCCATATAACCATTGTATATATGTTTCATATTTACTTTATTAGAGGAAAATATGGAGGAAAAAGGCAGGTGAATATGTTAATGTGCAGAATTCTACATTATATAAGACTAGAGGCCCATTGCACTAATTTGTGCACCAGTGGGATCTCTCAGCCTGGCCTGTGGGTTCAGGCCAAAACCGGCTCTCAACATCCCCTGTGGGGTCCCGGATTGCAAGAGAGTGCAGGCCAGGCCGAGGGGCCCCACCGGTGTACGATCGGGGCTAGGGAGAGGACATGGGAAGTTGGCCAGGTAGGGAGGGACTAAAGGAGGGCCCCAGGATGTGTCCAGCCCATGTTGCTCTCTATCCCTCTCCCTTCTTCTCTGTAAAAAATCAATAAAATATATATTTTTAAAAATGTATTTGTCATCACATTGTCTAGTATTACTGTGTGGGCCATTATGGCACCATGCACATTTTCTGCAGTATCGAGTTTCACCCACACAGTGGTGCTAGAAAACCAAAAATTGATGTCTGTCCCCCTTCTAATCAGTGGATTATGTATTTCTAACTGTTCCTTATAAAAGAAACACTTCCTGGAGTTATACATAAGCAATGTCCCCTTTCTCTATCAAAGCCATCAAAAAGCTACAGAGATGTTACTTCTGAAATGCTTCTAGACTTCTGTCGTCCTTTACCCGATGACTGCAGTGGTTTTCTAGTGAATCTTCCTGGGTTTACCCCTGCTTCACTCTGGGATGTTTTCCATATTGTAGTTGTAAGTGATCCTTTTCCACATTTGAATCTGGACTTTATTCTCCTGCTTAAAAAATTCATAATACAGTGGGTTTATCAACAAATATAAGAAAAGGTCTATCCTGATTCAATTCCTGCCAGGTTCTCTCATTTCATTCATCTATAAACCTTTCCTTGTACAATTCTGTTGCTGTTATTTCAGCCAGTTTGGCCGTCTTTTGGGTCTTTGAACACAAGTTTTTCCTCTTTTGCCTGCTTTTCCTTCTGCCTGTGTTAAGTAGGTGCGTGTATGTGTGTAGGGAGGTAGGTATACGTCTTAAATTAACTCTACCTTATCCTTTGTAGCTTGGCTCAAATTTTTGAAAGCTCCTGTTAACCTCCCCAAGTAGATTAGCTCCCATTGTTACTTGTTCTCATGTACCCAGTAATTTTTCTTTTTCAAAATATTTTTATTTCAGAGAGGAAGAGAGAGGGAGAGAGAGAGAAACATAAACGACGAGAAAGATTCATTGATTGGCTGCCTCCTGCACATCCCCTACTAGGAACTGGGCCCATGATCAGACATGTGCCCTGACCGGGAATTGATCCGTGACCTCCTGGTTCATAGGTCGATGCTCAAACACTGAGCCATGGCAGCCAGGCCCCAGTAATTTTTCTTAAAAACATTTAATCATATATTTACTTATGCATTTATTTGAGTAATGTCCATTTCCCCACTCAATCGTAAGTGTTAAGAAGATAGATTCTGTGCTCTTTACTCATCATTGTATCATTGGTGCCTATTAAAATAGTTGTTGAATAAGTGAATGAATGGATATAAGTAAGCCAGGACTCAAAGTAGGTAATTGAACTAGGAACAGGTGAGCATTCTGGAATAAAACTTTCAATTAGCATATAATAAGATGAGTTTTATATTAAGGACCTCAGCTTGGTCCACTTATTTCCTGTTAAAGCAGAAAATAGTTCTAATGCATGGGCAGCCCTGAGTGGTAAGGATTCCTATGTATAGAAAAAAGGAGGAGTAGTAGGCAAAAATCACATTTGGCAAATTTTAAAATTATGGAAGCAACTAAGAGTAGATCTTAAAAGTTCTCTTTAAAAGAAAAAATTGTAACTATGTAAGATAATGGATGTGTGAAGTAAACGTATTGTACTAATCATTTTGCAATATATACCTGTATTAAATCATGTTGTACACTTTGAACTTATAGAATGTTTTATGCCAATTATATCAGTAAAGCTGGAGAAAAGTAAAATAAAATTATGGAAGTAGCTAATGCTCTAGTGAAAAAAGTTCTATTTTTTTAGTAGAAAACTTTATTTTTGTTCCAGGTATAATAGTGTTTTGTTCTCCATTTTTGGGAAAAATATGGTGTAACATTGCAGAAATCACTATTTGTGCTCACATTTCTTTCCATAATTGTGTAATCCTATATAATAAAAGCCTAATATGCTAATTGTCTGGTTGTCCAGTCATCTGCTCAACCAATCAAAGCATAATATGCTAATGATGTGCTAAGGCTGCTCAACTGCTTGCTATGATGTGCACTGACCACCAGGGGGCAGATAGCCAGTCGACCAGTCACTATGACATGCACTGACCACCAAGGGGCAGATGCTCCAACTGGTAGGTTAGCTTGCTGCTGGGGTCTGGCTAATTGGGGCTGAGCAAGACTGGCTGGACATGCACTGGAATCCTCCTGTGGTCCCTATCCTGCTGGCCAACTGCCCACATCCCTTCCTGGCTCCAGTCGTGCACTGATGGGGTTGCTCAGCCTGGCCTGTGCCCTCTTACAATCCGGGACCCCTTGGGGGATGTTGGAGAGCTGATTTCGGCCCAATCCCCCAAGCTAGGCCGAGGGACCCTATTGATGCATGAATTCGTGCACTGGCCCTTCAATGAAATAATAAAAACTACTTTCTTAATGTGTGGTAAAAATCAACGAGAGGAATATAGGTAAAAGCATTTTTTTAAATATAAAAACAGCTGCCGGGACCGGTTTGGCTCAGTGGATAGAGCGTCGGCCTGCAGACTGAAAGGTCCTGGGTTCGATTCCAGTCAAGGGCATGTACCTTGGTTGTGGGCACATCCCCAGTGGGGGCTGTGCAGGAGGCGGCTGGTCAATGTCTCTCTCTCATTGATGTTTCTAACTCTCTATTCTTCTACCTTCCTCTCTGTAAAAAATCAATAAAATATATTTTAAAAAATAAAGTATAAAAACACTTTATGAAGTAGACTTAATATTTGCCCAGGAGATAAGAAATCCTTCAATTTTAGAATCTGTTTTTTATTCATATTAACAAGGAAGAAGTGGCTACCATGTACTAAGTTCTGTAAGAGCAGGGACGATGTCAGTTCTACACACTATTTACCCTCTGCATACAGTTTCTGGTAGGTGCCCAGAATTGTTTTTGGATGAAGAGCATAGTGAATTGCCTCTTGCCATGTAGGTATTGTACAGAAAGGAACAATCTGAGGCAAAACTTTTTATATGTTTATTTTGTTTATATTTCAGCTGTGGCAGAAGTAAAACTTCGAGATGATCAATACACACTGGAACACATGCATGCTTTTGGAATGTATAATTACCTTCACTGTGATTCATGGTATCAAGACAGTGTCTACTACATTGATAACCTTGGAAGAATTATGAATTTAACAGTGATGCTGGTAAGGAAAAAATATATAAGTAGGATTTTCTAATTTGATCCTTAATTAATTTTCACTTTGAATCCCATATCCAAGGAATTGATGTACACATACCTTTAATATAGAGAATCCTATCATCAGTCTGTAAGACTTATTTTTGTTTTATGGGTGTTTTTTTTTTCTTTTGTTCCTGTTCCTACACATATTTATTCCCCTCCACTCCTACCAGTGGGCAACTGCCTAATGAGTTTATAAAAGTTGATATAACTGTTCATTTCTCTTTTCTTCATGTGAGCTGTGTTATCTCCGACTATGATAGGGGACCTATTTTTCCTTTTAGCTAACACTATTTTTAACCGTTTTAATTAGGTGCAAACATTTAGGATTGTTTTGCTTGCTATGGATTGGTCTTTCTAGAATTATGAAATAATATAGCCATGCTAGCTTTCTTAATAAATATTATTTACTAGAGGCCTGGTGCACAAAATTTGTGCATGGAAGCAAAGGGGTTGTCCCTCAGCCCAGCCTGCACCCTCTCCAATCTGAGACTCCTCTCACAATCCAGGACTGCTATCTCTCAACTGCTAGCCTGCTTGCCTGCCTGCCAGATTGCCCCTAACTGCTTCTGCCTGCCAACCTGATCACCCCCTAATCACTCTTCTGCCAGCCTGATCTACGCCTAACTGCTCCCCGGCCTGCTCTATTGCCCCTTAACTGTCCTTCTCTGCTGGCCTGATCACTCCTAACTACCCTTCCCTGCCAGCCCAATTGCCTCTGACTGCCCTCCCCTGCCAGCCTGGTCACCCCTAACTGCCCTCCCCTGCTGGCCTGGTTGCCCCCAGTTGCCCTCCCCTACTGGCCCGGTCACCTCCAACTGCCCCCACCTGCAGGCCTGTTGCCCCACCTGCCTTTTCTAACTGCCCTCCCCTGCAGCCCTGATTGCCCCCAACTGCCCTTCCTTGCAGGCCTGGTCTCCCCAACTGTCCTCCCCTGAAGGCCTGGGGCCTCCCAACTGCCCTCCCCTGCTGGCCTGATCACCCACAACTGCTCTCCCCTGCCAGCCATCTTGTGGTGGCCATCTTTGACCACATGGGGGTGGTCATCTTGTGTGTTGGAGTGATGGTCAATTTGCATATTACTCTTTTATTAGATAGGATCTTTTTATTCTTTTAATTTTACTTTGTCAGTGTTATTATTTTTAAAGTGTATGTCTTGTAAAGAACATTTAGTAGGGCCTTTTTTTATTATTTAGTATGAATATCTGTCCTTTAATTGGAGGGCTTAGTACATTTCTATTTAATGTAATTACTGATATGGTTGAGTTTATTTTGCCATCTTTTCAGTTTATTTATTCTTTGTTCTTTTAGTCTCTGTTTCCACTTTTGTATGGATTAATCTATGTTTTTTTTTAAATTCCATTTAGTTTTCTCTTTTGGCTTTTTATATAAACCTGTTTGTATTACTATTATTTATTTTATTTTAATTGTTGACAGTATTTCAGATGTTCCCCATTTTTTTCCCCTTTTGCTCCACTCTACCCTTCCCCAAGCTTTACACACTATTGTCTGTATCCTTGGGTAATGCATACTAGTATATGCATATAAGTGTTTTGGTTAATTTCTTACCATCCCCTTCCCACCCTTTTCCCCTCTGAGGTATGTCAGTCTGTTCTCATGCATCTATGCTTCTGGACCTATTTTGTTCATCAGTTTATTTTTTCATTAGATTCCATCTCTAAGTGAGATCATAGTCTTTCTCTGACTGGCTTATTTCACTTACCATTATAATTTTCAGGTCCATTCATACTGTTGCGAAGTATAAGGGATCCCTTGGTATTCCATTGGTTACTGTGCAGGTGTCTTCAAACTACGGCCCGCGGGCCACATGCGGCCCTCAGAGGAGTCTGATCCGGCCCGCCAGGTTTTTTGGGCAGTGAGCGCAGCCGAGGTGTTACAGTAGGAATTAGTAGTTCATATAGTCTGGCCCTCCAGCTCTCTGAGGGACCGTGATCTGGCCCCCACTTTAAAAAGTTTGAGGACCCCTGCTGTAGAGATTATAGTATTCACCTTTAAGTTATCATAGTCTGCCTCTAATTAATATTATCCTATTTAAAAAAAACATATAAATCTAACAATATTTTTTTTACCTCCTTTACCACCTTTGAGCTATTTTTGTTATATATTTTGTTTTGTTGTAAACTCCACAGTACATTGTTAGGATATTTGGCATAAATAGTCATTGGTCAGTTAATATCTTTCCTAACCATTTTCTGCTGCTTCTAGCCATCCTCTACATTGTGTCTATAGCATAATCTAAGTTGCTTGTGTGATTTTCTCACTTCTCACATGAATTCTTTTATTATTTCCTTTATGACAAAATCCATATTTTTTGACAAAATCCAATATTTTATGACAATTTTCCCCCCCAGCTTGGTGGGTTTCTCTTTATTGATGTGAAAATCTACACTTTTTAATATGTAATTTTAGAATAGGCAATGTTTTCATGTGATTTAAAAAAAAAAAAATTACTCCCTCTCCTATCTCTAGTTCTTTCTCTATATATAAAAGCCTAAGCAACCTTTACAACTGGATGGCCGACCTTACAACTGGATGGCCGACCGGTAGCTATGATGCGCACTGACCACAAGGGGGGCAGACACTTAACGCAGGAACTGCCCCTGGTGGTCAGTGCTCTCTCCCCAGTCGGCCTGATTGGGACTGGATGAGACACCCTGATTGGCTGGGAGGATCCCACCTGTGCAGAATTTGTCTACCAGCCCTCTACTTCTTTATTTATGTTGTGTTCTTCAAACCAAAACAAAACTGCTTTTATTGCCCAGCACATTTGTGTTACAGTCTGGTAAAAAGAATTGAACAGAAGTTATGAATGATCTGAGGTATTGAAGCTTATGAGTTAATCCCCATCAGTCTCCAAGCAGTCAGGCATGGAAGAAGCAATGATAGGGAACCTCTGAGCCTTCCTTTCCTCCCGCAGGCCAGGCTGAGCCTGCTTCCTTTTCCTTTCTTTCATGACCCTCCAGGTGTAGTACTGTAAAAACATGCACCATGAACAAAAAGAACCGTTCTGGTACAACTTCTGTAAATAATTTGAAATCATGAATCTCAGCTGTCAGAGTGTGAAGCATTTTTTGGATTTAGGAAGAAAATCACTGGGAACATAATCTTTCCATGTCACGTTCAAATTTTCCATGAGGTCTACCTGAATTTGCTCTCAGAAATGCCTCTTCTTACTGGGATGATTTTTTTTTTTTTTCTCTTTTCCTATCCCCTTAGCATTTGGTTCAGGGACAGAAGCATCTACCTGAAGACAATAGAAGTTCCCATGATAAGTAAGCAGAAAGGGGAATAGAAGCAGGAAACAGAGCATGTTCTGATTTCTGCTCTCCGCTGGTCGATTTATTTTAGAACCTGTGCAAGTGATCTTGTGCCTATTTTGAAGCCTGTGTCCATGGATAAAATATACAAATTTCTCTTGGCATATGATGTTTATAATGCCCTTCTTGCCAACTTTGACTTTCACCACTTTATACAGACTGCACTCTAGTGATAGCACACTCCTGCAATTCCTGAGATATGCCTTAAAGCCTGTTGCCTGCAGTCCGTTTCCCATGTGAACAACTCTTCCTTGGAATACTCTTAGTTCTGTCAGTCTGCTTCCCAGTCTTCGCTTAAGTCCCAGATAATCATTTCATCTAGGAAGCTCGCCTTGGTAAATACCAAGAACATTTAAACTGTTGGCTCTCAGATCTCCATGAACTCTGTGAATTTGCTCTGGGCCAGAGGTTAGCAAATTGTTTGTGCATAATGCCAGATAATAAATCTTTTAGAGTTTATGGGCCAAATGGTTTTATGTTACAGCTGCTCAATTTTGTCCGAGTAGTGTGAAAACAGCAGTAGACAGTATGTATAAATGAATGAATGTGGTTGCATTCCAATAAAACTTTATTTACCAGAACAGACAATAGGTCCAATTTGGCTCATGGACTATAGTTTGTTGACTGTTGGTCTGGCCTGTGTTTTTTCTTCTATTTGTGTAATTCTAGGACTCAGCAGAAGGATTGCCAGTGTGTTGTTGAATGGATAACAGCTATTTAAGGTTTGTTCTTTTTAAAAAATTTATTTAATATTTTTTATCACTTTAAAAAAATCTTTATTGTTCAAGTATTTATATAGGTTCTCTTTTTTCCCCTCATTAACTTCTTCCAGCCCACTCCTGTCCTCCTCCCCCCACCCTAGGCTCTCACCACCCTATTGTCTGTATCCATGGGTTATGGATAAATTCATTTAAGTTCATTGGTTGATCTCTTCCCGCCCACTCTCCCCTGCCTTCCATCTGAGGTTCAACAGTCTGTTCATGCTTCTGTGATTCTGGATCTATTTTTGATCAGTGGTTAATTTGGTTCATTAGATTCTGCATATGCGTGAGATCATATGATACTTACCTTTCTCTGACTGGTTTATTTCTTGCTCATTGGAGTTAGCTTTGCATTCTTGATTGGAGCTTCCTCTTATTATAAGAGTCTTTGGTTTATTGAGATAAATCATTTTATTGAATGAGAAATATTTGTTCCTGAAATAAACATTTATTGAATGCTACTATGTCCATAGTAGGCACATACACTTATAAATTGATAACATGTAACAGTGGAAGTAGGGATAAAATGCAGAAGTAGTTTGGAGAAGGAAACATTTTATTAGTGTGCTTAGCTGGGAGGAGTGGGGATAAGGTTACAGTTTAGGGCCAAAATCTTGGTTTTATCAATTCACCCACTAATAATCACAATTTTGGATGCTGATTCCAAATTAAATCACAAGATTTAGGACTGGGAATCTGGAATGAAAGTTTAATGATTGCATTTGAAATACTATAGATAAGCAGAGTGGACTGGTTAGAATATTTTTCTTTATTAAAAAGTTTCCATAGGAAATTAAATACAGCTGACTCTTGAACAACTTGGGTTTTAGAGGTGCCAACTCCCTTGCAGTTGAAAATCTACATAT